GAGAGAGAGAAAGAATATGAATGAGAATGTATGTATGTATGTATGTATGTGCAGGGCGTACCTTGACCTCAGATTCCCATCTGCTGGGAGAACTTTGTGGAGGTGAGCATCAGTCATCACATTTCATCTGGACCTTCCTCTTTAATAACAATATAATCCCCCCGGCCGCTGGAGGTCCACCAGAAGTAACAAGTGGACTAGTTGGCTTGCTTGAAAATGGCGTCCTAAAAGAGGAAAGTAGAGGCTGCTGCCACTCAACAAGAGACTGGTGGGGGGCTGCTGCCACTCAACAAGAGACTGGTGGGGGGGCTGCTGCCACTCAACAAGAGACTGGCAAAGGCTGCTACTGCACAAGTGACTGTCAGGCCTCATTCACACCAGACACAGTATATTCCGGCCTGATTCTGGCCAGAACGCACTGCATCGCATTGCGGCCCAGCTCAGTATGCTGTGGGGCAGGAGGGGGCGTGGCTGTCCATTTGAAGTGAATGGCACCGTAGCCACGCCCTCCGGCCGCAATGCAATCGGCCGCACGGCAATGCAAGGCGCATTATGCCTGCGATCCGAACAAAATGCTGCAACAAATTGTGCCTTGCGTTCCCGTGCGGCCGATTGCATGGCGGCCGGAGGGCGTGGCTACGGTGTCCTGCCCCACAACATACTGAGCCGGCCGCCATGCAGTGCGTTCTTGCCAGAATCGGACCCGGTGCATTGTGTCTGCTGTGAACGAGGCCTTAGAGGCTGCAGTGTTGCAAGAGAATGGCAGAGACTGCTACAAGAGGCTGAAGTTCAGGCCCCCGCCATATGCATGCTTTGTAGCTTCCTGGCTACATGGGCTCACACGGCACTTGCTGCGAGCTAATTTAATAATGGGCAGCACGTGAGGCATGTGATTGGTGATCCATACACACATGACCTTTGGATGGCAGCGCTTTGTGTCCAGCACACTGTAACACGCAGCAGGTTAATCATTTCCAGCGCGTCACTTTCCTCTCTGTAGTTGTGTGATAAGACGCTGTGCGGGGGAGATAACCCCCTCCCCCGATTATCACTTCACTAATGAAAACACTAATTCTGACCACTTCACCTATTTATGAAACTGCTCCGGGCGGTTCTGACGCTCTCTGTCATCCCTTTGTTCCCAGAGAAAAAAAAAAAATCCGAAGAATTCCAACAATTTGACACCAGAACTTTATATATATATATTTTTTATTTCCTACCTAATTTTTTTCTGGAGATT